GCACCGGCCCCCCCCGACCCCCCCGACCCCCTGCCCTTTCTGTCCCTTCAGCTGGTGGCGTTCGTGACGTTCCTCTGCTTCGCGGCCTCCCGCGCCCCCGGGGCGTACACGGCGCTGGCCGGCATGGAGGTGGTGATCACGGCGCTCTTTTTCCTGCTGTACTTGCTAAAGCTCGATAAAAAGATGAGCTGGCTCTTCTGGCCGCTGGCTGTGAGTATTGGCTGGCCCGCAGGTGGAGCGGGGTGACCCGTCCCGTGCTCGCCCCTTCCCGGGGAGGTCCTCGGGCCCTCCGGCCGCTGCTTCCATAAAGTTAAAGCAAAACCCGGCGTTTCGTTGTTGTTGGACCAGTTTTCCCTAACAGAGATGACAGCGCTCTTCTGCGTCCATTCCTAAATAGCTGCTGTATATCCGTTAACAGTCCCTCCTGTAATGGGCATCATTTGCTTAACCTTCTAATGCTGTACTTTTCGTCTTTCTCATCACAAATTAAACATACACTTTCACTTAAATAACTTCCCCTCTTACCTCCCTTTTTAAAATTTATTTGCTGCTTTACTCTATCAAGCGTAGCCAAGTTGCATAAATTTGACTGCAAAAAAAAAAAAAAAAGGTAAAATGAGGAAGTTTTATCCCAAACGCTCTTTTTACCATCAAACCACTGGGTGTCACTGGCGATCTGAGGCGGATATTAGGTTAATTCTAGTTTCATAGTAAACCAGCAATTTTTACTGATTCATGCAGTATTGGGAGCTATTCACGTTCTTCCTCAGGCATGTTGGTCAGAATAAATATTTTGCTTCCCCTGGCTGTTTCAGGATATTTTCAACTCGGTGATTGCAGCGTTGTTCCTCCTTGTTGTGTGCCTGTGTGCAGTAATAATCAAGAGCAACAATGGGACGCTGGCTGGAGGAGTAAGTACAGACCTTACTAAGGAATTTCAGTTCTTAAAGTGGACGTGATTTGAACCTCTTGGTATATTTACACTGTGGTACAACCATGAAAATAGCTCTGTTGTAGAAGAATATACTCAGCCATCGCAAACAAAGTGAATACACATTCAGTGTATCTCACCAAAAAAAAAATCCTCAAATCACTGGTAATTTAAAGATATTACTAGACTTAGGAATTACTACTGAGAAGCACTAACACTGAAAACTCCTAGAGTTCAACTAATTTGAGTAACCTGCACTTCCATAGCTTGAAATCCCAGGTGGGAGAATCCATGGCTCTTTTAGGACTGTCCAGTTTGGTTACACTATTTAAGAAGCAATGCCTGCAATCCTGCTAAAAAGAGTTGAAACTTTTTAACAGACGTGCTGCTGCCTCCCTCCTGATGTGTATATTATTTTTTCTGACACAAACTGAGAAATTACGGCAGTTGAAAAGGTTTTTTCCTACTGCGGTTGTAAAATTTTTGTGTATTTAAGATCAAACCAGTTTAATAGTTTAAGCAACTGGTATTTTTAATTCAAATGAGAACTAATGTAATTAACATTAGTAAACAATAAGGGGGAAAAACCTCAGTTTTGAAAGTATTTAAGTGTCTTGAAGGAAAAGATAAGCTAAAATGTGACAAGCGACCAAAAGAAGCCCAGAACTTGCCACAGGAGTTTTTCAAAACCAGCTTAAGAGACGATGAGGTGGAAAGCAGATGTCTTCACTGGCAACAACATCCGAAGCAAAAAGGAGACTTTCTGATACAGGGACCGGCTATGCTAGAACATAGTATATAGTCTCAGTTGTGAAGTTAGAAATTAAAATGAAGTGGGAAGCAGGAGACTAAGCGGGTAGCTTGGAAAACAGGTTTGGGCAGAACGTATGACATCTTCAGTGTCAGGAGACGCAGAGTTGCGCTGAGGCCCGTGCTCCTAGGGCACACGCTGCCTTGGACTGTGCTCTCCCGAAAGAGCCTGCCTTAGCGTTACTCCACCCATCGGACAATTCCATTCTAAAACATGCTTGCATCAAAAAACTTGTGTGCATGTGGGATTGGGCTGAAGGGCAAGAGCTGAGCAAGTTAACTCAGCGGTCGTTTTGCCAACACCTTTTTCCAGTTGCCTGCCTGAAGTTGTATATTTTTTAAATACTTACGTACATTTTCTTCAATTTGGAATATGTTTCCCGTTCAGAGCTTCAGAGGAGAGGCGCACTATTTTTTTTCCTGCTAGGCTTGTTTCTACAAACGTTGACTTTTCTCCGGGCCAATAGCATTAATTAGGCAGTCCCTAAAGAGACAGAAGGGGTTTCATTTAGGATAAAAGCACTGTCTGGCATAATGCAGCATTAGCTTAGCTTTCAAGGAGAACACAGCGTCTCCAAGGCAAACATCAAACAAAGCCAGGGTGTAGACTGCTGTACGAAAGGCTGATGGGATTTAAATACAGGTGTTATTTATCAGCTGTCTCACATCACACATATATTTAGAAGGCCAGAACCGACTTAGGAAGATGTGTTTACTGCTTTGAGGAACAGTAGATGAATTGCTACAGTAAAAGACAGAGATTCTATGGGGACACTAACGTCATCATTTTTTATAGGTGTTTGGTCTTGTATTGCTTGTTCTCTCTGTTGTCGACGCAGTTGTTCTTTTCCAGAAGATTAGTCTTGGTGGACCAAGAGGAAGGAATACTGCAAAATGAGATTACCATTTTAGTAAAAGAACAATTTCTCCATTGATGACTGTTTTACTGTTCTCTTTTAAAGAATTTGTATTTTCACGTGTTCACCTTTGAATTTACCGTGCATTTATGTACTTTTTTGCAAGTATTGTTCATAAGTTTTCTTACGTTTACAAATGTCGTTTCAGTGTTGCAATTTCAGCAGTATAAGCATGGCAGAAAATTGTCCTGGTTTTGTAAACTTAATTACATTTTCACCTGTATGAAAATTAATTTCATAATTGTCTTCTTTCTGTAATAAAAAGAAAGTACAAATAGGCCTCAGTGCGTTATTTAGCATTATTTATTAAGTCACGTGAAGTAAGAATTACTTGATTTAATGTACCAATAAACATCTTTAGGAACAGGGTTATTTTACTTGTGTCCCTCATGCCGCAGGTCAGCGTCCTGGCCGATGACTGTCCCTGCCATGTGAGTGCTTTATTGCTGTGAGACCTTCGGATCCTCAAATTTTCATTTTCATGTTTAGAATAGCGCTGAAAACAACCACGCTGCCTCCCTCGTGCGACCCAATCACGACTCCACTGCCGTGCAGCGAAGGTAGTAGGTAAAGCTGAATTCGTATGATAAGCCACATGAAAATACGTAAGTGTCGGTGGGGGCCGCTGCTACAGCTGCTCCTGTGCTCAGACAGCCCACGGGGAAGCTCGGCGCCCCCCGAATCCGTCTGCGGCACCCCGGGCCGGGAGGGAGTTGCAAGGGCGATGCAGCGCAGCGGGCAAAAGCGAGCAGATAAAGGGCGCACGCTGTGAAAAGGGGGTTGTGCTACAACGCTTTTTCCGACACCGCGGCGTGCAGAGAGCGGGGGACCCGCCGGGGCCGGGGCCGGGGCCGGGGCC